GGGACAACAGGAGCAGCTGTCAAAAATCAGTCCAGCTCAGCTCCCACAAGCATTCATTGCCAAAACAGCAATGGGTGCATCTAGATCTTGCATCATTTGCATCACAGTGCTGGGACACAAGATAGCTGAAAATATAATTTTATCTAAATGTCTAAGTGCTGACAAGGTGTTCCACAAGCATTTCATCCTTTTCCCTGAGCTCTCTCTTACAGTGAGAATCTGTCCATCATTCAAGCAGAATTCCTCTTTTCCACATCCCATGCAGACACAGGCAAGAAACTGGTATCAAGACAGTTAGACCAGGGCCTGAGGAGGAGACCTCTAGGCAATAGAAAAAATATTACTGGAAAGGACCATGGGGATTAAGGCCTCTCTAAGATTGTAATTTTTTAACTCAGTTTCTCATTAGCCCTCATTTCAGCACTTCTTATAGTATCCATTGGCACTGCACCAGGATGTGGGTGCCCACCTCAGGTCTGTGGAATGGGCACCATCTCCACACAAATCCATGCCATGGATATAGCCTCTGTAGCTAGACACTTTGGTGTCTAACTCTTTCTGCTTTCTTGTGTTAGATTCCCCATCTATGTGGTGATCTGCTCAGAACATTGGTGCCTGCACTCACGCAGGTACTCCATGGTGTTTCCATAGATACTCACCCTTAGGTCCATTCAGGTTATAGAGATTCTGGCTCTTGCTCACCAAAACCAGTTGGGCAATTCCTCAGCTGCTTATGATTCTTCTGTATAAACCAGGTGGTTTTTCAGGCAGAAGCTGCTTTGGTACTCTTTGCCCTGTACATCCAGCACCCTTGGGAAGTTTATTTGGCCCTCAAACCTGCTCTGTTGTCCTGCCCCATCTTGGGAGCCATTGTTATTAAGCTGTTACTAGGTTTAGTTTGATTGCAAATAAATTAACTTTAAATGATAGACTGAGGGGAAATTTACATGGTGGAGAGGAAGGAAAAAAAAAAACTTTCTTCTGGTTTTGTGTTTTGGGTTTTTTTGTTTTGTTTCCTTAGGACATACTCTGTCAAAAGCCCCAAAATAAAAAACCTTCAGCAACTTGGTGGTGGAAAATACACATGGAAAGATTCCATCATTTTATGAAAGGTAAGCAAATGGAAGCTACCAAGTTGTAAACTCTCCTGAGCATAGGAGTGGTTACACCAACTAATGACAGCCACAGAGTTTTTTCCTAATGAAATCATTAATTTGTAAATAGGCAACATGGCAAAATTTAACTCTTTCATCCAAGTCCCTGTTTGCTGATGTAAAACACAGTGTATTGATCACAGTGTATAACTGTAGGACAGTGGTTCAGGGCACCACAACGTGGATGCCTACAGTAGCAAACTGTTAAGACCAAATGTGGTACAATTCTGGCCTGTGACAGCAAATGCAGCTCAAGAGTTACCATGGTCATGGGGCCATTGCCAACAGGCACACTGGATGTGATGCTCAGATGAACAAAAGTGCGGAGTATTTGAACTTGGCCCATCTTGCACCAGCTGCCCTCAGTACCAGCCACCAGTCCTGGGCAAGATTTAACCTGCATTTTCATTTTTGATCCAGTCAAATGTAAAACACCATAATCCTTTGTAGACAGGATGGATGATTTACTCAGTGCAGAGCTGCCAGTCTTGCTCAGCTCTCCACACTCCACTGATTATGCCAATGTGGAACCACACAAATACAACTGATATCCTTCAATAAGGTGTTTTTCAGAGTATTCAGATTGCTGGTCTAAAAGAAAACTCTTATTGAGGTGGTAACAGGCAGTCCTCAAGCAGCATCACAGAACAAATGTGGGGGAAATAGTAGTAAGTTTCCTTTAAAAATAAATTGAATACATGAAAATAGGCACATCAAGAGATGAAAAGACTTCTGCTGAAGGAGTTTGCATACTCTATGTGTAAAAGCAGACTAAAACATCATTTCTCATGAAACATGTAGATATTTTCTTCTCTTAAAGTGATTGGGTGTGACAAACATCCCTGGAATTACATGGTCCCATAAAACTACTTAATCACTTGACATAATTGCTTATAATTGCAACTAGACCTGTATTTGTGAGTCTGTACTATACCTGGTAATTAGCATTACTCTATTATTTACAGTAAGAGCTGTATGATGTATCATGGAAGATCCTGGCTGCAATGCACTGTACAAAGACTTCATAACACAATTCCACCTCCAGACAACTCATAACTGAAACTAAGAGGAAAAATACACAAGTCAGTATAAAGAAATAGCTAGTGGAAAAGCAGGTAAAATAGTTAGCAGCAAGAGTGAGATACTGGTACTGTGTTCCTTTGAAAACCTGCTCTCATTGAAATTACTAATAAAACTGGCTGCTTTATGCTATCCCAGGACAGCAGCTGATAAGAAGAAACTCTCACCTCAACACTACTGAAGACCTTGTGGCTACAGGTCAGCCTTTCTTCTCACCAGGGAAGAAGTTCAGGGTGAATGGACTCAGCATTTTCCTGTGGTATCTTGTCCTGACACCAGCACACAATTATGTGGTTTTGGTATTGCCCTCCTCCAGGCCTAAGAGCCCACCTCCTCAAAAGCAGCAAAAGAAAAAAAAAAAAAAAGCAGCCTCCGTTATTCCTTCCAACCTGTGGCCAATGTGTTTGGCACCTCACAATTTGATCCTTCTTGCTTTAGTTTCAGCAGCAGAACATTTTAACTAGTTCTACTTGGTTTACAGAAGTGCTGATCCTCTTTGGTCTTTCCCTTTCCTCCAGCTACTCAAACATACTAACTCAAACTCATCTCCTTTCATATCTGACTGATAAGAAAATGCTGAGCACATGTTGTGATACACAGCATTAGTCAGATTATCTGTACAGGCTCTATGGAGATCTAGACTGAGCTGAGTGAATAAAGTATGAACACTTGATGCACGAAACCCACTTTCTGATGTATGTCTTCTGCCTACCCCTACAGTTTTGTAAACTTGAATGTTTGAAAAAAGCACAGCCAGAAACCAGATCAGCTCTTCTAAATTCATAAATAACGAAAAAGCTGTATTCAGTTACCCTGCAGGTTATCCCACAGAAGGATTATTCAAGTGAGCTCCTTCATGAGCAGAAAATCCCTACAGCGAGGCCTTTCATGTGATTCAGTTAGTCGTTCACCCAACTTAAATGAGAATTTACTCTTGCATAACATTAAATACAGTCAACTGCATAAGCAGGCTCTTTCTCACCACATCTTACCCTACGTCAGTAGCCATTCAATGATCTTAAGTAGGAGATAATAATCTTGCTTCTGAGCAGTAAGTAGGTAAGCTGTTTTCAGCCACAGAAAAAATTATTATGTGAAAGAGTTAGTGAGCATTAGCATGGAGGTGAACTCACACATAACCTGGTTACAGACAGCTGATCTTTTCCTTGCTAAAAGCTGGAGTTAGCAGGCAAGAAGAACAAAGCACAAAACGAGAATAACAAGTTCTAAGTACCAAGAGCATCTCACTGGAAAGATCAGAACTTTGGTACGTGTTTCCAAGTTCTGGTGTTTCTCTGTTCAATGGTACTTTACATGTGGCACAAACAGAAAAATGGTTTTTCAGCTTCCAGCAGCTGCTCTGTGTTTCTGAAGGCAGGGGCTGCTTCCTCAGACAACTTTATCAGAAGTCTTTCCCAACCAGGCTGGGAAAGAGAGCTGCTTTCACCTTCCAGTACTTCACCTTCAGGCAAGGATTCAGTCTCCAGGCATGAGAGTGGATTTTAACAGGAGCATCTCTTGTTCTCTTCACATTTCTAAGTGTTCTGGAAAGAAACTTCTATAGAGTGGTGTACTGAGTGTAGGTGGCAAGGTGCTGCCCAGAGGGGCTGCAGGGGTGGCCTCTGTGAGGAGAGGCCAAGACTACCCTGTGCCAGACAGAGCTGCTGACTCACTGCAGGACACTTCTGAGCCCCTCACCCAAGCTGCTGATACCTCTGAGAAAAATATGTTTAAGGACGGACAAAACACATAGGCAGGTGGTGGGAAAAATGTGAGAACCAGCAATACAAACACCAAGGACAATGAAGAAGGAGGAGAAGGTGCTCCAGGCACCAGAGCAGCGATTCTCCCACAGCCCATGGAAAGGGCCCCACTGGAACGCATGGGTGTTTCCTGGAGGAACTGTCTCCTGGAAAGCCTGTGCAGGAGCAGGTTTATCCTGAAGGACTGCAGCCCACAGGAGCAGGGGGACAGGATGAGGAGAAAAGAGCAGCAGAGAGGAACTGTTAATGCACTGACCACAATCCCCATTCTCCATCCCCCTAATGCCACTTGGAACAGGGAAAAAAGCAGAAGAATTGGGAATGACAAAGCGAAGTTGATCCTGAGAAAAGGGGTGGGTGAGGTAGGGGAAAGCTGTTGGTTTAGCTTTTTACTTTGTTTCTAATTGACGATAAATTTATTTTCCCCAAATCAAGTCTGTTTTGCCTGTGACAGTAGTTGGTAAGTGATTTCCCTGTCTTTATCTTGACCCATGGGTTTTTCCCATCTTACTTTCCCACTCCAGCCTGTCAACGAAGGGGAGTGAGAGGGTGTCTGGGTGGGCATCGAGCAGCAGGCCAAGGTCAACCCACCACATGCTGTAGCATACATCTGTTTAAAGTAAACTTAAAATCTACTGGGTCACATTAAGTATTTGCCAGAAGAAAATATTTCCAAAATTCAACACAGGTAAGGGTTTCCAACACTTATTTACTCTCTATACGTTATTTGGAGAATTACAGAGAATAATTTTTATATGGAAAAATATAATACTAAAAATCTTACATACAAGCAAAAAACTTAGCAACAAAAGGCTGCTCACAGAATTGACATCCAGTCTTTCTGTCACCAGTTAAGATGAAATTCCTTCAGTTAATATTAAAGTCATTTGTTTGGGTTTTTTTTTAACCCCCCTATAAAGGAGACACGCATTAAAAATAGTAATGTCTAAAACAACATTATTTAATTCCTAGTCAGGCACCTGGCTTTGAGCATCTTCTGCAATCAGCAGTCAGAGGAACCCAGTTTCACAGAGGCACCAGCGATGGGAGTTTCTGAAAGTGTCCTGCGAGCTGCAATCCGCAGACATTTGGGGCAGCCTCCAGACTTGAAGCATGCTTTGTGAAAGCATGTTTTGCACTCTGTTTATATTAGAAAAAAAAAATTCAATAAAACATACTTCAAGGAGCACTGCTACGTAGTTCACCCAAGTACAAAAGTAAACAGAAGCAGTGCAAGGCCGGGACAACAACAACCACTGTAATAGCTATGACTAAAACTTTTGATAAGATTCCCAGGGTATACAATGAATGTCAGCAGGATCTGATATCGCAGCAGTATAGCACTGTCCCAGGCTCTCATGTTTAGACCCCCAAAAAAGCCTCCCCCAGCAGTCATAATTATGTTCAGGTGAGTCACTGGTTTTACTCTGAATTCACTGATGAAGAGAGCTGCCACAGGCTGGTTTTCAAACACCTGTGCTATCCATGGTTTTCAAACACACATGCAAGTTCTCAGTGTTTTCCTAAAGTGAATCTGAATGGTTTTACACACCAACCTCCTCCCTAGGTAGAGAGAGAGAAATGTGTGGTCCGAAACATACCTGTGCACCTTTTGCATTTGGAAATCTGATGGGGAAAGAGCAGATCTGCACTCTGACAGAATTCACAGATAAACCCCTTTGCTTGACAGAGCTACAAGGACAACAAAAGAGTTTATTTACGTTTAAGCTAATAAAATATTCCTCACATTTGCAGATACACACTGGAAGAGCCCTGTTTATTTCTTACCTCGCAACCATCCACATGGGAGGTAGAGCTCTTCAGAATATCTTTAAGAAGGGGCAGCAGCTGCCCTCGTTTGATCTTCACCAGGTCATCCAATGAAAAGATATGCAGCTCTTCTGTCAGATGGCTGGGGACCTGTTCAAATTCTTTCAGTACCCTGCGAAGAGAAAGAAAAAACAAATCAAGTTACAAGAAGCTGCTTTTAAATTATATTTGAAGAATAAGCCTCTTTCACTTCATAGAATCGCTTAGGTTGAAAAAGACCTTTGAGATAGAGTCCAACCATAACATAGCCCAGCCAAGTCCACCACTAAACCATGTCCCTAAATCCCACATCTACGTATCTTTTAAACGCCTCCAGGGATGGCAACCTCACCATGTCCCTGGGCAGCCTGTGACAGTGCTTGACAACCCCTTCAGTACAGAAATTTGTAGTAATATTTAATCTAAACCTTCCCTGGAGCAACTTGGGGCCGTTTCCTCTTCTCCCGTCACCCAGGGATCATAGAAGGCAAGTTCATGCTAAATCCTACCTCCCTTCCCAATCTTTTATTAATGACATTAACTGGAGGGTTTGGAATTTAGAATTCTGCTTTAAATGTGCATTCCTCAGGAGCTGCCATGTACAGTTATCCCAGCAATTCTTAAATAATGTGTAAATGGCTCTTCTTACATCAGGAAGAGTAGGTAAAATCCCATATACTATGTAATGTAATAAGCTAGAGTTATTCACTTTTTTTGCGAAGAGAACTTTGACGGTTTTTATCCTGCATAGATCACTACCGGCTCAAATTACGCTTGTACTGAGCAGGTGAACACTGCAAATACAGCTATTGCTTTGAAAATATCACCAATGTAGAAGGTACAGTGAGGATCCTAACACTTATTTCTATAATGGAATCATAGGTGGTTGTCCAGAAGAGAGAAACGAAAATACATTTCTATTTAATTTTGGTGAACACCACATAATTGATGCATATAAGAGGTCCATGTCAGAGAGCACAGAACCTACTTTTAAAGCTTGTTTTGCTTATGTCTGTTTTTAAAAAGGTCGTGAAAGTTTTATCACTCACACCTCTACCTGTTAATTAGGTAAGGGGATAGTCTATTAGTCTGGGAAAGCAAATACCAAAAATCTTTAATTTGTAGCAACAAGTAAGGTCATGTTTTGGTATTTATCAGTTTCAGTTACTACTTTCATCTGACTATGCTTATAAAGTAAGCTGAATTGAGCAGAATTACGACAGATTTCTGGAAGAGATCTTTAAACTCTCAAGGAACACATTTGTTAATTATTTTTTTAAAGACAAGTTATCTCAGAGGTATGAATAAGTATATGACTTTTTAAGAATGAGTGTGAACCTAAGAGATACATAAGTAGGAAAATATATACACCTAATAAAAATAATTCAACATTTAAAACTAAATGTCTAAGTATGTTACAAGAAACAGAAAGCTACCACATAAAAACTTCACTCAACATTTGCAGTGCACTAGAAGAAAGTTCTGTTATCAGAATTTTCTCTTATGATCACATTAACTCATTTAAAACTGCACTCAAATGTTTTAGAGAAAAAGGTTCTATAAGCACCTCAGGTACATCTTAATAAGCTATTTTTCAAGCATGATCACAGCCCATACCTTTCACCAAACCTGCAGGTTTTCAGAAGCTTTTTTATGTGAAAAAGCTGTTCTTGCACCTCCTAAAAAATGAAGGAGAAAAACAAAACAATTTTTAAATGAAAAGCAATTGCATTTGTATTTTCATAAGTGAGGAACACCAGCATTTGAGTCAACAACCCTTGTCAGTACACAAAGCCACACCTAAAATAGGAACTTCACACTCAGCACAGAATTAAACAAATTTATTTGGAAGGCCAAGGAAGACAAAGGCCACTTTTGTTCACTGACAAGGGAAGCAATTCCTAACACTACAAATGGCTCCTTGTCAGCACACCAAGATGCTAGATCAAAACTTGCATAAGAACTGGTGTCTCCTCAGCCAAGGGGGTGCACGGCAACTTGTAACCTTCTGCAGAGCATCCCTCCTCAAGCTGTAGGACAAGCAGCCCTTAGGTGAACCAAGAGTGTTTTCTCTAATGGCTCACAAAATTAAGGATTCATTCAAAACCTCCTGAGCTTTCCAAGAGCCAAGCAGAGATAAATATTTACTGCAGAAGCCCAGCTTCTCCATGAACTAGAACTGGAAACCAATAAGGAAATGCCTCCCAAAGACAAGGTGGGAAATGAAACTTCTGGCACAGGTTGGAAACTTCTCCTTTCTCCCCCTTCATCTGAGAGGTGAGAGCTCAAGTCGCAAAAGCAGTGATGGGAAAAGTCTAAGTGCATAGAAACCAACTCTGCCTCCTTCCCACACACATGGCAAAGCACAACCTGCCCTGAGGAGTTCCTCCTAAAAGCCTCAGGCCCACAAATTCCCAGTAAAAAAAGTCCACACTTACCCTCACCCTGTCCATTTCTTTACTTTTTGTATAGAGGGCTTTGTTAATGCATGAAACATTGAAAACTGGGTGCTGCCATATACTGTCCAGGAGGTGTTTGGAGAAGTTGCATACATAGTATTTTTTGAAGTCCCACTTCATCAGTATCCGGGCAGGAATGGAAGACTGGGCACAGCTGTGGCAGCAGTCACAAAAGTACTTCCCCAGGTAGTCACAATAGCGGAGTCTCCTGATATACTCTACAGGTAGACAGCAATTAAATTGTGAATATTTATGGGATATATCTCTTCTCTGTATGCCTATTCTGTCCAAATAACTCGCATCTATTTGAGTGAGGGGAAAAGGATTTGTTTGTTTTTAAGTAGTGGGGTTTATTATCATGGTAAACACATGCGCAAGCTCTATACTTCATATTAGAAGCTTTCCTCATCTCCACGCTTGTCAAACTGAACTGATTATATCTCACCATGAGATCTTAGAGAAACCATTGTTGCTTTACCCTTACAAAAAGGCATAAGAAAAAAAAAACAACCAACCAACCACCAAAACAAAAAAACCCCACACAACAAAATACTTCCACCAAATGGAAAGAAAAGGGTTTGTGGTTTTTTTTTCCCCCAGCTGTCTCAGCATCTCACATTTGCTCAAGTTAAAGTGCCATCACAAGTGGGTGACACTCTACAGGCCATCACAAATGCTGCTCTTACGCGAGCAGACCGAGAACAAGTCTTGAAAGCCACTTAAAAGATTTCTTAGGTAAGGTCTGGTTGTCAAACCTGTAAATCATTATACTTTCAAGCAGTTCTCACCATGTATCACAAATACTCTTCAAACACAAGCAGGATTTTGTGATCAAGATATAAAGGAAAAATGTTTTAAAAAAATAAGCCAAAAAAGCAAAACCACACATTCCACAAGCTTACTTTTAGAAACTTTGGAAATGGGTAAGTTGGCACAGAAAAAGAATTACTGAAAGAAACCATTAGAAAATGTAAAAACAGCCCAGCCTGGAGGCAAAATTTTGCCTCCCAGCCTGGAGGCAAAATTTCTAATAGCTTTTCCTGTTTTGTTGTTGACCATCATTTATTTTTACTGTGTACAAGAAAGATATCTATTAAGTATTGTATTCTATCTGCAATGAGAAATTCCAGGCAGTGGTAACATTCCATTGCCTGTTTTATTGTTGCAGGAAAATCCAACAAGGAGATTTTTTCTTCTAGCTCGGATCAGTGTACCACAGTGGTAAAATTATGTTAGTGAATACTATAGACTGATTACCAGTTAATGGATTTTTTAATTCCTTTTTGGTAATACTTACTACTTTCTATTGGGGTTCCACAACCAACACACGTAAAGTTTTGGCCAGCCACCACTGCATCTCTCCTGCATAAAGAGGCACATAGTTACACCTTTCAGCATCCGAAACACAGTATAGTTAACATTATCCCGAAGTGTAAGACAGCTACGCTGGCACCAGTGAGCATTTTCAAACTGAGAACTGACTTCTACCCCTCCACATGAAGGAGGTTCTTTAAGGAAATGCAGGTTATTTCAGAGAGAGTCTCTCAGCTATTCTGAGGACAATGTAACATCAACTACTGCTTCTAAAGAAGCCTCGTTGCAAGAATTTAAATTCTTTCCTATTTCTTAAGGCAGCACCAATAAAAACAACACAAAACAAAAAAAACAAAATAATCCACATCTGCAACTGAAAAAGTAACTGGACCTGCAACATAGAGAGTTAACCAGCCTGCCTACTTTGTGCATTTAATGAAACTTTATGCAGAGACAAGACCGTAGTTTCCCCAAACATGACTTGTTGTCTCCTCCCTTTCTGAGGGCCTACTAGCCAC